AAATTCTCACCATATTTTTCTATGTTATTCTTTACCCGTCAATGAATAATTAACTATATGCAGAATCCAAATGATAAAAATAGTAGAAGTAATAATAAGGATCTATCTTAGAGTAGATTAATACTATGTGGATGTATTTGTAAATATTAAAGCGATATTGACACATTGTATGCGGGCAACGTACTTTTACGTTTTTCGCAGTCTATCACTGGATCGCGGGCACGTAAAAAATACATATAGTATGGTATTTATGTTGCTAGGCAACGCTTTGTATTTGACCAAACTCCCACAAGATCACGAAAAAACGCCTGTTGCACGTGTAAGCCGCGGCGAAGTATACGCGCATCCCAAGTGTTAAGTAGAATCATTTGTTTTTTATTGAAAAAACAAATTAAATATTGTCAAATATTTTATAAATTAACCAATCAACGGGCAAACATGAAACAAGTGAACCAACAAATCTGAACTTTCTGGTATTCCTAACTGATAACGATGTTCGCATTGACGAAATTTAACCATGTAAAACACTGAAATAAGTTCTAATTTTGCAATTAATAGGTCTATCGTATGTTGTGTGTTAATATTATATCAAAACTGTGTGTGTATTATGTTCTATATTTTATATCTAGTGTAAAAAAGTCTATTCTTAATATTCATATCGTATACAACACTTATATTTCAACAAAGAACAAAAGAGATCAGAAAGATGTATAACAGTGCAGAAAGACAATCTATTTCGGAAAAAAGAACTTTGTCATCTTGTAACGGTTTAATATGTACACCATCGAGAGATGAAAATTCAAATTCCGATTTTAAATCTAGTAGAAATGATAGAAGAAAGAAATTGTTAAGTAAATGTGAACATTTATTGAGAGATCGTTCTCCGAATGGAAATCGGAAACCTACAAGGGAATGTGATAAATCCTCGACCTTGGTTAAAAATGCAAATGACATTGACTTCTCGAAATATTGGGTTTCAGGAGAACAATTCTTTCAAACACCTCCAAAGAATTTCAACGAATCCGATGAATGTAACAACAAAGAAAATTCTGCAACTTTCGTACAACTTTTTGGTAATGACGACGACGATGATATTTTTCGAGGTCATCGTCGCGTAAGTTTTGATCATTTGAAACTTGACGATACTTTTTTTGCCCCAACTCGAAAAAATAATGACGTTAACAAATTGGATATGTTAAAAGACATTAAAACAAGTTCAAGTAGAGATGAAGATTTTCTTAATCGTTTCGAATTACCATATTATCGGCTTGACTTAGAAAATGATAATAAAATAACAGATAAGCCTGTATTATCGAAATTTTTAAGAAAAGAAGATTCAAAGGAAACATGGGATTTGATTATTGATTTAGAAAAAGCAAGAAAAAAACGTTATTCTAACAATTTTGTAAATCATAAATCGAAAGAAAATTCTTTGAGAAATTCATTATTAGATTCAAATTTCGCAATTGACACGAACGATTTTAATGAAAAGAACCAAACTAGTCCGAACAAGGACGTTCGGAAATTGAATGTAACCGAAGATATCCGATCTTGTCGTTTCGAATCTTTGAAAAAAGGATATTGCAAAGACGCAGTAATGAATATTAGAAAAACAAATTCCCAAAGTAAATTGAGTAGTTGGAAAATTGAAAATATTTCTGATTTAGATATCGCGAAGGAATCATCTTTGAATTTGACGAATTCAACTCACTTTATTCCGACTACAATCAATGTATACAACAATTATATTTATCTGTCATCAGCGCATTTAAAAAAATTTCTTGATATAACAAAGTTAACTAAATTACTACGAAGAGGTGCACGAGTTAGTCACATTAGACGAAAAACTTTCAAAAGAGTTAATTATAGGAGGAAAATTCATTTGGTCACTTCTCGTCATAGAAATCATTCTAGAAAAAACGTTTGTGAAATTTTGGCGGGAATTAAAAAACAACTATCGTTGATCACACAAATAAAATGTCGTGAAATATTACCGAATTCTATTCATTCTATTTCTACATCGAATGTTGAGGAAACTTTGAACGAACTTATTACGAGGTATTTTTTATTTATTTGAATTTTACTTTTTCAATCATAATGATATACTTTTTTTCTTGTTTTTTCCTATGTTACATAGGTGTAAAGATTATATTTCTTATAATAATTACCGCGAAGAAGCTATTACAAAAATAAATGGTTTATTGGGAAAAAACATTAATAATCTTCAAAAAGTTTTGAAAGAAGAAAGGCTCTCTCTGTCTAAGAAAAGCTTAAAAAAATCTATGGAAGGTTTATATAATTATTACTTTAATTAATTGTTCTTTTATGTTATATTCAGTGTGCATTAATGGTAAATTTGACATCAAATATTTTTTTGTACTTGAATACCCAATGTTAACACATTAACAGCCGGCCCCGCGAAAATGCAGGTTTCTGAGCTATTCAGTGATCAGAAACAAGTAAATAAAGCCGGCGCTCAGACCATAAAAGTCTTTTAGGTCGCCGGCTGTCAATGTGTTAAGTACGTTTTTCGACAGTTACATGTTTTGCTTTTTGCAAATCTAACTACACAGGCTAAAAATTTAATCAATTTATTATGAAAAGTATCTGAAACTTTTTTTGGAAAAGTACATAATTGCCGAGATACTCAAAGGCGATTATTGTCTGGGGTCGAATTTACCATATATGCATTTAATGATTCGCTACAGAGGCCCTTGACACGAAGGATTAAGATTTATCATTTTTCTTTTATTTTCTTGCAGAAAAATATTCTACGTCTTTAAAATTGAAATCTTTTAAGGAAAAAGAAGATTTTCAAAAGATGAGGACTTCAAAAGATGACGTAAGAGTTCTGAGTACTAAATTCTTGTTGATAAATATATGCGTATGTATGATCACATTATTACATTTTTTCCAGGAAAAGCAAACGTTATTAAGTAGTGGAAAGAAAATAATCGATCGAAGAGACAAAGTAAAGGGATTGTTAAACAATATGTTGCTTTTAACCGATGATATCTCTGTTATAGAAGATAATAAAGAAAATATTAAGAAGCATCATAAAAAGACTTCTTTGGATAATATGGAAAAAAGACCATCTAATAATAGGTTAGTTTATTTAAATATTGTTATCTAATACAATACAAGGAACAATGGATAGGACAAAAACGTTAAGTTCAACGTAAAGTTCAAAAGAAAAGTTATTTCTTGGGGACTTTTAATCACAGGGATATGTTTAGTGCACTCCGTAGGGTCTTTGACCAACCATTTGTTATGGATAAGTGCTTATCCACACTTGTAAATTATTAATTGAAACATGAACGTCGAACGCATTGCATGTATGACGCTGCTTCCCGAATATTACGATCATTTTAAACGCGCATAATGCAGTTAATATTTGTCCGATTTTTACATATAAATATGAAATATTCGCTTGACAGTAGGTAAAATTAAATTATGTTTTTTAAAATTTACAAAAAAAAACATTTTTGAACATTAAAATTTTTGACAATTAAGATTAAAAAAAATGTTTTTGTTTTTATCCAAATTATCTTTGATTTTGTATTCGGTATTTTGTTTTCTAAAAAAATAATATCAAATTCACAATTAGCGACCCCCAAAACCCTCAAGTACTAAATTTTCTTGATTAACAGTTTAACAATAGGACAAATACAATATTCATAAACATTAATAATTTCGAATTCTTTTAGAATATATAATTGTATAGTTATGCAAAATGGATTTTAATTTTATAATTTTGCTCAATTAAATAGTTTTTTCAACAGTATTATAAAAACGATACGATGATTTCAGAATGGAAAGTACAAAGAATCGAATTATAGAATTAAGCGCGATAAAGAAAGAAAACCAAATGAAAAGTGAAATAAATGTATCCAAATCTCGAATAAGTCCTTCTTCGAATGTAGGAAAAAATAAAATGATTAACTCGAAGAAAGACAAAACGTTAAGAGAAAAGCAAAATTGTTCAGAGAAGCCGATCGTTTGTCAGTACAAATTATTCGAAAATTCCAATAGGACGAAGAAATCAACGGATACAATTTCAAATATTTCTTTTGGTAATAAGAAAGAAAAGATTAAGAATAATGTTGGACCACGTTTGGAAACTGTTCAAATAATTAAAGAGAAAAAAACAAGAAGGGTCTCGCCATCGATCTATCCTGCCTGCAGACATCTTGATCAAACGAAGAAACATAAAGACATTCGTCTAAATCGGCAAGTCAACATTCAACCCGTTTGGAAACCAGCTGGTGCTGTTAAACCTTTTGTTTCTAATCCGACTTTTTTAACTAATGAACCAATTAATTCTCGCTCGCAGATGTTGTTTAATAAAGATAATCAAATAATAAGAAGGTACTTTGTTTATGTTATATATATATATATAATATTAAATAAATTATATATAATTAAAATATTATTTTACTTATAATAATTATCAAATAAAATACAATATTTTCAGATCAATTGCTAATCCATCAGAGCCAACAGTCTTAAAAAGAAAGCATTTCTTGAAGGATAATCAAAGAAATGAGAATTTGGTCGAGGAACATGTAAACGACTTATGCGAATTGTTCGCGTAAGTAACATTATTATGGTTTAATTATTGCATTAACTAATATAGTCATGTATATATATTTTCATTGATATTTTTTTTGTTTAGAAAAACACAAATATCATCGAAAAAACTAAAAGATAATAGAAATTCATCGAATATATTTTTAACGAATGTTCGGGGTAAGAGTAGAGAATTAAATTTAATGAAAGACAAATCTGAATCTAAATCGCGTCCGCGTATATCTAGTTTAACGTCAAGGAATACATCGCAGATTGTGTTTAAAAATGAACCTGATGGTAAGTTACCAATGACAAGTAATTCTTCTACAAATATTCCTACGAACATTTTCATTAAAGATTATGAGAAAAATGAGAAGGTAAAGGACCAAATTCTAGACGGTCTAGAAAGAAAAGATAGAAGAAAATCGTTAATGCATTTATTAAAAATTCCTGATGAATTTCCTGCAATTCAATCATCAACGTATCAGAATCAAGAAACAGAACAGTCAACGAAGAAAGAGATGAAAGAAGAATCATCTAAAGAAAAATTACATTCATCTAATAAAGAGATTATTAAGACAGACAATTTCAATTATTTATCAAAGTCAGTATTGAAAAGTTATGAAAATTTAGATAATCATACATCAATTGAGAATCAATCCAGTTTAACATATTCTACAAATATTAGCTATAAAACTGACTCTAGTTCAGTATCTAAGTTAATGACAGCGGTCGCTTCATCAAAATGTTGTCAAGTATCATCTCTCTCTTCGTCAAAATCAAAAACCAACATGATTTTTAATCAGTCTATTAAGCCAAATCAATCAGCCGAGATAGATAAAGATTCTTTCGAAACTTTGATGGATAATAATCGTGAGGAAAATGAATTGAAGGAGTTAGGTGAATTGAATGATCGATTTAAACAAGATTCTGATGTAATTGACAATAATGAGAAAGATAAAACCTCTCCTAACTTGGAGTCAAATGTCTTATATTCTTCGAAAACAAATGATACTGAGAAGAATCCTTTAAACAAACTTTCCATTGATACTTCAGTAAACAACAATAATGATATAGAGACTAAATCAATGAACTTAACGATAATAGAACAGCTTCGATCTAACGATAATGAATCGATCGATCACATGATCGATGAAAAGAAATCTAAAATTTCGCAAACTACATCGGATTTAAGATCGTGTTGCGATGCTTTTACTAACATCGATGATATCAAATCTAATTGTTCTGAGCAATTCGATAAAACAATTATTTCTTCATCTCCCAATAAAATTGATTTAAATGTTTCATTGAAAGATGTTCCTACCAAAGTTCTTTCACAAGATCAATCGGTACTATTACCAATTCAAATGATTTCAACCCTAACGAATGAACATTCCTATAAAGTAATGAAAAATAATGCTACTACTAATCTAAATATAAATTTAATGAGCAATTCTGATGAAACTGATACTATTGTAAACATTGAATCAAAATTAATAGGAACGAGCGATGAAGAAAATTTAAATCATAATGATAGATGGGTAATGGAAACCGTAGAGTTATATTGTGAACAACCCAACGATAATCTATCGAAAACAGTAGACAAAGATCAGAAAGAAAATACTGATCTTCCTAATGATCGATGGGTTGCGGAAACTGTAGAGTTATATTGTGAACAACCTAACGATGAAAATGAATGTGAAGAAGATAAAATTAAATTGAACAAATCATACGAATTGTTATCAAAAATAAATAATAGCAATGATAACATTGAAAGATCTACGTTATCCGAATCGTTTAACCAATTAAACGGTATCAAAGAACAATTGCAAAGCGTTGATATACAATTGAATAAATTACAGGCTACCGCAATTCAAGCTAACGATATATTTTATCGAATTGAAAAAACTACTACCCCACATGATTTTAATTTTAAAGAAATGACTGTATCGTCGAATGATTTATCAAAATCATCAAATGAAAAACAAGTAAAGAACGACGATAGATCTTCTTATGAAGATTTACATAAATCTATAATAGAAGCCTCGTTATCTTCTTGTCATTCTTTCAAACGATCATCGAATATTTCAGAAGAACTACTTAATACAGATCTCAATAAAATGAGTGATAACGTGGATACATTGCAAACGATTTCTCGTTATTCGACAAATTCCTACGAAACTGTTAGAATTTCTGAAGATAATTCGCATGATAATCAATCAAAAGAATGTAAAGAAAGGTTTTCAACAAAATCTGATTCGTTATCCGAAGATTCTTTAGAAAAATTCGTTGAAAAAGGAGAATCTATTGAACGTGATAAACAATTATCCTGTGAATATTTTAATGAGAATTGTAATCATTTTTACAACAATCTCAATGATTTCAACGACAAAGTCGAGGATACTTTGGATATGAAAATTAAATCATTTTCTATCGAGAATATCTTTTGTGAATCTAAGCCAACTGATTATTCATTATCAAATGATGACTCTGACGAGACCAATAGTTTCGTCTTTGTTTCAATCAGTAATTCAAACAACACGGAAGAGAAAGAAGTGAAAATAATATCAGAAGAATCTCAACATTCCGTTTTTTTCAACACTAATAATTCCACAGGAGCAGTATCAAGTGTTTTGAATATAAGAAATCAAGGTTTACAAATGATTAAATACTATAAAAAAGAGATTTCATCTCCGAATCTTCAGAACGAAGAAGAAGAATCTAATGATTTTCACGATTTAGCTATAACTAGAGAAGGATTACTTCTTTTGATCTATTTTACTGTGTGTTCCTTTGTATATTTTTGTTTGAATTTTTCTATTACTTGCGAGACGTTTATGAAGTAATAATAAATTTTTTTTTTCTTCCTCCATAGTTGATATTACACATGCTCGTAAGATTTTCGAGCATTTTTTCTAGATATTTTTTCGTTACGTTTGTTTCTTAATAAAATTTATCAAAATTTAATGACATTGTTTTACATATTAACATAGTTTATATATGTATATTAGTGATATATTAAAAAACTAAACAAAAGTATCATTTAAACAAATAATATTGACAAAGATTATATGTGCAATTGCGATTATGTGTTGATACAAATAAGTATACGTTATATTTTACTAAAAGTTACAAGATTTCTTTGTATTTTTTGTTAATTTTATGTTATAAAACTTTGATAAAATATATAAAATTATAATTATTATCGCGACGATGCTTTTTTTGTTTCTTCTTTTTCAGTTTACTTTCGTATTTACAAGAGTAAAAATATGATTTTTTTTGTTAATAAATTTTCAATTTTCATCCAAGACCTCGATGGTAGCTGATCCAGTGATATCAACCAATTCTTTCGAAGCAAACGTAGCAATGATTTTTTGTTCTCCTGGTTTTTGCGGAACTAGTTGATGTTCTACATAAACCTCTTCCAATGGTCCAACGTCCCTGAAAGGTAAAATTTTGTTTCTGGCCAATCCAGGACCAGCATAATTAAATTTGCAATTAGTTAATGTCTTTTGCAAAGGATTCTTGAAACTAAGCGTTATGGTAGTTGGTCTTCCAAGGATTGGCTCACCCTCGACCTGTAATATATATTAATAATAATTTGTTAGAACAACAAGTTTTGATTTTAGACGGATACTTTATTTTAGTTTAATTAATTATCAATATCCAACCTTGACAGTGATATTTGGTTTGAGAACTTGAAAATCATCCTCGTCTGCCCAAGTTTGTTTCGTTTCTTTAACAGTAGCAATTGTGTAGAGTTTCATGATACAATATTCTACCAATTTATCCAAGTAATCATCTACGGTGACTGTAAGTCTTAATTGTTCGTCTAAAAAAGAAAAAAAAGAAGAAAAAAAGAAGTATAAACAAAATAATTATAGCATGACGAGTAAACAGGAAATGTAATTCTAAACATTCCCAGGTAAGAAATAAAAAAATTGCATCGCCTAATCGATTAACATACATAAATCGTTATGTAATAGGTATCTTAATGTCTTATGTTGTTGCTTATGATGCGGTTTGTATGCGGAGATTCTTTCAATTTCTTGCCACTTAAATGCATACTTAAAAACAAATGAGAAATGAAATATTGATATAACGATGCGTAGTCGGTTATTATTTTAATCTTACTTGCATTAGGCTGAAGAATAAAATCACCGGAGGCTCTCTTCACCAAGTTTGCCTTGACACCAGTATAGTAAACACTGCCCGCGGATAATATAGCTTGAATTGTTCTTGGTTGATTCGATTTGTTCTTTATATTGACGGTAACAGCAAATGGTTCTCCTATCTTAACACGTTCAAGATCTACTAAATCAAATTCGACGTCTTCTTTGCTTGGTTCTGGCAAAGAATAAAATCTCTTGGCTCTTTCAGTGCTACGTATTGCTCTGTACAAGGTCAATCTCTCTGCTTCCGTACCTGTTCAAAATAACGTATTGAGGGAAAAAAGAATAAAAAACATGAAAGAATAAATAAATTAATAAACTTATCTTACCTTCTTTAGCTTTATAAAGAGATGTTATATCTTCTCTATCTTTATCACCGTTTGGATCAAAGATCCATGGTGCTTTCGTCAAGATCATTCGACCGATACTAAAAAAAGATAAAAATTAAATGTGTTTTTATAAATGGACACATTGAATCTTTATTTATTATTATTATTATTATTATTAATTGATAATAAATATTTCAACTGACTGATATTTGTTGCAGTCAATTTTAGAGTATCCCAATTCACTTTCTGGATCTTCTTTCCATCTCATAAGATCAGCATTGACGGATGCCAACATAAAAGTAACGTCATAATTATAACCAACGGCACCTTGTCTTATAGCTTCAACCGATGCCGGTCCGCATTGATAGAAACTATCTGACGGTTCTTGCGGAGTAGCGTCTATAGCTTGCCAACCCCCATAACCCTTGGGTAAATCAGGCCTAGCCATCCAAACGTCGTTCCAAACGTGATAATTCCAAATGGAATCTTCACCTTCCAAATTATTTGGATCATATTCGAGTTCTTCGTTGTCCGCATTGTAATATCGATCGACCGATAAGGAAGCATTAGCATCGTGAGCTGATACAAGATTTGATACAACTCTTGATGGTATTCCAAGAGCACGGCAGACAGTTGTTACGACACCAGCGAATACCCAACATTGTCCATATTTGACTTCGTTTTTAGTTTCTAAAAATTGTTCCAATATAGGGACACTTCCAGTCCAAGCTGCTGGTGCTGTACCATCTTCGTATTCACCGTCCCAACGACCAGTTACCACACCTTTATCATCGTTTGAATTTACCTACGAAATGTAACACTCGTTACAATTTACCCTTCATTTTGTACACGAAATTAATCACTTACGATTCTTGATATCGCTCGACACATTTTAATCGGATCTCCCCTGGATATAGCCTTGATGCCTGATCTTTCTAATAATAATTGGCATGCTGGTAAAACGCATGCATCGAATTGACCAAAGATCCATTCTCTACCCCGAGAACTTCCCCATGGGCCAACCCAAATCTTTCCAACGTCGTTCAAAACATACTCATCGAGAAGTTGTTCGTCTTCCATGAAGACCAGATCCTCTATAAGAAGTTTCTTATGTTAATAAAAATTAAATCACGATTGTTATAGACTCAATAATGCTTCCTTACATACCTTTTAGCCAAGGATTGAATAACAAGTATATATCATTTTCGTAATTGTACGTATTTGGAGGTTCTTTTCTTCCAAGAGTCGTTGTTTCAACGTTTAATTGCCAAACACCTACTGGACTGTCAACAGGACTTCTAACTTCCACAGACAAATCCATTCCACGAATTGCTACCATTCGTACACCCCATGCTTCCAAATCCGTTAAATACGAGTCTCGATTTGTTATCGTGTTAACTCCCCTAGTACCTTTCATTACATTTGGATTTGGACCAAAACTGAACAAGAGCCTAACGATATCCGTTTCATCAACATATTCGCGATTAAATCTCAATGCCATATTGAAAGCTTGACCTCGTCGTAGTACCGGTGTTGGGTTTTCTGAATGAATCATTTCGTAATTATTTGTGTGATGGTATTCAGCATTCTCCTTTTCGTACATATACACCATGTCCACGACCAATGGTTCCTGGTTCGACATCTAATTAACAGGTGAACATATTTTTATGATTTATTTGTCAACTAATCTGTGTACCTATGTAAATCCATTTTTCCAAGGAAAATCAAAGTTCTCTTCTTTTACATTTGTTCATTATACAATAACACTCAACTCCACAAGTAAACATACATAATATATACTTTGTATACGAGTAGAAGAAATAAAAGATTATATCCGCTTTTGAAGAATCACGTCATCGCATGAAAGGATAACTCTAAGAAAGATCGATGTTGCGTGATCGAATTGTCAACGAAGTAGTTACATCCCCGAATGGAATGGAAACATGACCTCTTAAATGATTCATCGATTCCATCATTTTGTTACAGTGAAATCTCACATTCCGAGAATGTGAATAAGCTTCAAAAATATTTCTTCTCTATACATTTGATTAAACTAACACCTTTCTTATTAAATACTTTTTAACGATATTTAAATTACTTGTGAGATCTCAAAAGAATTTAGAAAAAAAACCTGTTAACCTTCTGATTTGAATAAATGTAAAACAAATTAAAAATAGCTGAAAATGATACCCAATAAGCATAAAAGTATTCACATGTTTCTTATTATTGAACTTTACTTCTGTCAACATTTTTAATAAAGATTATTCAGTATATCGAAGGTATGTTGACAGAGAAAAAATAATAAAAAATCTTTAGTATTATTTAAAAAACACACTACAAAGAATATACTGTAATTTTGTAAACTTTGTATTAAATTATTCTATTTTATTTCGACGAAATATTTTTTCAAATTCGGCTTTTGTATCGATAGTATCGAATCAAATTCCTTTATGATTTGTTTATTTTTGATATAAGAAATGTTACGAGAAAAGTAATCAAGATAGAAAGAAAAACCCATGATGGACCTTTTTCTTGAAATATTTTTCTTATGAGATTATCTTTTTTTTTCTTCTACGTAAGAAATTAGAAATCGAAACCAAAGATGTACGATTGCTTTTAACGCATTTTTTCATATATATTTCATAATAAAAATCTTTATAAAAATTCATTAAAAAAATTCCATGGAAAAATATGGGATTAATATTTTAATTTCTGATTATAAACATAATAAATGGAATTAATTAAAATGTTATAGTTTTTATTTTTTTTTATACTATATAGTAAAAGACTAACCTTGAGTGTTTTATTTTTCGAAAATTCACAGAACGTATGTATAAACCTTTCACTTTGAGCTATCAATTTCCAAGTTAAGTTAACGTCTGACTGACGATTAAAGACGTTTTACATGTTTTTATATAACCTGCAATATCCACCTCTCCGACCGCAGTATCCCTACTACCATGATAAAAAATGCCGTCCTCAGTCACTCTTAATTATTATCTTTTAACATCCTAATTAGGGTTTCTGATTTCCTTATAAGCATGTAAACGTTTGATCAAAGTCCAATCATTTACTTATTGTTAAATTCTTTCATTTTTATGAGGATTTTTGGTATCTTGGTTAATTATTATTATTTAACATTATATAATTACTTTTATTTCTAATATTAATAATAATTATTCATAATCTCTATTTCATACAAAAATAATTTACTTTGTACATTATGAAATTAAAAAGTAATTTATAAATTATTATAATAAATATAATGAAGAAAGACAAAATGTTTACCTAATTTATAGATTCTTTTACGATAGACTTTTCTTGTTCTTTATGTAAAAAAAAAAAAAAAAAGGCAAAACTAAAAATTAAAATTAATCTATAGATATTTTATTAATATATTTTGACGATTAAAAATAAGCTAATAAGCATTTTAATTCTCGAGTTCTTGGACATAGCATCATTTCCGAAAAAAAAAAACTTATCTTATCGTTGAAACAAAATGGAATCGTAATACTAGGTTTGCAATATAACAACGTGCACTGGACGCTGCGGTTTCCCGCATGTTTTATCGTAATCATAAAGGAAAAGTTTATTTATTAATTATTTATCGTTGAAAGGATAAAAAAAAGAGTCCGAGAGAAGTTTTCATAAATTTTATTTTTGCGTTTTTTTTTGTGTCTGTGTATGTGTGTAAGTGATTTAGACGATTTATGTTGTAAATTATTGGTCACCCTTTTCTCATTTTCCAATTATTTATAAGTCTTCTTTCCTTTTTTACTTTTTCTTTTGCAAAAAAAAAAATAAAACACAGAAAGTTTTATTTCGATATTCGACGAAACATTTATGATTCTCGTTATAATCGATCATTTTAATCAACGACATAATTTGCTTTTTTTTTTTTTTTTTTTTTTAATGTAAGAAATGAAAGATAATAGTTTCGATATATGTATCTTCATATTAATTTATCGACGAACGCAATCCGAATGTCAAAGTTAAATAATATGGTCAAAAGGAGAGAGAGAAAGAGAGAGAGAGAGATCATAATGACGATGATGATGATAATTAAACAATGATCTGAAGAAAGATCAATTAAAACTTATTTAAATAAAATTAGTCGACGCTCGGAATGCGCGAATCGATCGCGTAATGTGGTTTTTTTTGTTTATACATTAATACTCAATTCAAAAATCAATCAATTTGAATTAGTGAAATATAGATATTAGAAGATTTATCTGATCTAATAAGTAAAATGGACCGTGTTTATATCGAGCACCCACCTAAAAAGTCTAAAAATATTTAGATTAAGGCAAGTATAGACGATATATATATATATGTATATATATATAATATTATTATAAATAAGAACGTGGAATCGGTAACTTGTTCGCTACGGAATGCAGCAGCTAACGCATATTCGGCTTTCGCGGATTCAAATTGTTTCTTTCATTTTTTTTTTTTCTTTTCTTTCTTTCTATCTGAGCATCGAACAAATTTTGTTGATCCTAGGACGTTTTTCAGGAGTTTATTTTTTACCCTCCCTTAACGATATTTAATTATTCAATTTCTATCGAATTTTTTTGGCACAAAAATACTTGGCTACCATCGTCGACTGTAAGCTTGCTAGCTAAATTTTTTTTTCAGACATTACTACAAATATATTGTATATCTTTTTTTATTACTTTTTTTATATTTCATTTTCTTTCTTTTTCTTTTTTTTCTTTTTTTTTTCTTTTTCTCTCTTGATAAATTGACGATAAGTTCGCATAACGTAAACGAAATTTGTTTACCCATGCATTAATGAAAAAGAAAAACAAATAAACATATATTTATCTCATTGAATTATAATAAACCGTTCGAGTATTATCAAATTTTGTATCGCTACTCAGTTCTTTCTCTTCAAATTAATGGTACATGTTACCATATGTATATTTTTGAACCCGCGATATACTTAAGAAACACATACACGATAAACATACTGACAATCATATTCCGATACACGCATACACACACACTCTTTCTTTTTTCTCTCTCTCTCTCTCTCTTTCTTTCTTTCTTTCTTTCATTAGTCCCAATGCGTTAGCTCGCGTCTTTTGAAAAATCAAATTTTATCCGAACGCACCTGTTTTCCGTCTCTTCTATGGCACGTGTAATTATTTTCAAGCCTCGCGATTAATCTTGGAATTATTGAAAGATTCGAATAGATCATATTGAAAAGATCTATGCGAGCGAAGTTAACAATTGAGTTGCTCGTTTTATAAAAGGGAAAAATTAAAATATGTTCATTGCACATTTCCGTTGGGACCTCAACGACGTCGGTCAAACAAAAAAAAAAAAAAAAAAAAAAAAAAAAAAAAAAAAAAAAAAAAAAACAAAAAAGGAATTTTAAAATAAGTTCAAGAAATCTTTCGCTTCTACGTCGTTCGGCTATGAATGTTATTTTTCACGCCTTGTTTGAACATTTGTAATAAATAAATAGATAACTTAAGACAGGCATTCGGCAAATTCTAACATTAAAAATAAAACAATAAAACGAGGATTACCCGAAATCTAACGAAAGATTATCGATCACCATTATAACAATCATTAATCCTAAATTTGGAACGCCTGAATAATTATATGAAATAATTAACAAATAATTATACATATGCAAATACATACACGAAACTCAATATATAAAGGAATTTCTTAATTTTTTCGCCTATACATATATAATATATATATATAAGATTTTATAAATATACATACATAGCTAATAATATAATAATTATTATAACTGCACTTTTCTTTGTTAGATCCCACGTTGTGCTCGAGGAAAATACGACCACGTTTTTTATTTATTTAATTATTTCTTTCTTTCTTTTCCTCCTTTCCTTTTTTATTTTTCAATTTTACGAAACATTTTTAACAATCATTTTTATTGGTATAATGAATATTATTATCACTACAAATATTCATTTCCTTTTTTTAATTAAAACCCGTAGGACGCAATTACGGGGATGATAAAAAAAAAACGGAACAAAAAAAGAACAAAAAGAAGAACGAAATTTATAAGTTATGAAAACGCGGTCGTGCATTCAACGAGATGCGTCCTCGATCCTATTATCACAGTCAATCTCCTATCTTATCATCTTTATCATCATCATCATCATCATCATCATCATCATCATCATCATCATCATCATCATCATCATCATCATCATCATCATCATCATCATCATCATCATCGTCATCGTCATCATCATCATTTTCTTCTTTTTCTTCTTTTTCTTTTTTTTCCTCTTCTTTTTCTTCTTCTCGTACCACATATTATTATCAATTTTGTTTAAAAATTATTTTCCCCATTGGAAATATAATTAATAACATAACACTATTTTGAAACATCCCTTTCATATCCCAAACATTGAAAGCAAAAAAAAACACAACGAACGCGATAGATCGAGTACATATTATGTTTTCTCGGTATGCAAAACATTATATATTTCGCGAGCACTTTTTTTATGTGTCTTTCGGTTTTTCCATAAAAATAAAATATAACAAAAACATTAAAAATAAGAAAAACTTCCATGGATAATGATAATAATAATAATAACGATAATATAATAATAATATTAATAATAATAATAATAGGAACGTTCGTATGCACGCGAATACGGCAACTACTACATAGTTACTTTCCTTTTATCATTATTATTTTCTTTTTTTTTCATTTTTATTCTTTTTCTTAACAATATTCAAATTCGATTGGTTATGAAAAATCTTCATGAACCCGTTTCATCATCGTTCCATTTTCCTTCTTAATTTTGCTTTTTTTTCCTTTCCTTTTTTTAGAATATCAAAACAACTTTTAGAAGCTATTGTAGTGTGCTACGGGTAATTCATAGAATTATGGCATTATTTTTGGCAAAAATGTGTTATAAATTCTATTACTGGTGTTTGTCGAGCACACTTATCTCGGTATCACAAAATTAAAAAGAAAATAAACAACGTTAATGCTCGACCAGTTGTCAAATTATATAAATTACAGACATAAGTAATCGCGAAATATGCAATTAATTCTATCTTTATGTATACATACTTGTTTTTCTTTTTTATCAATATACATGTACTATATGTGTATGCGTGTGTGTGTACATTTTTTTTTGTATAAGTGCATGTACATAATTGTTCTATACATATGTATGCATAGTATATATGTATATATATACTTATATTTTGTTTCTTCTTGTTCATGTATTTTATTTCGCACCAGGGAGCCTTGGTTACGCGTGACTAGTTTCGAACAAAATTACTTTTTTCGTTCGCTGTTAAAAAGCAACCTTTACTTCCATACTCATAATTTCTTCGCTCATCCTTCAATTCATTTCAATTTTCATTAAAAAAATCGTCTTTCTCTATCTTCATCCCTATTAATAACAATTTTTCTAATTCATTTAATGAAACCATCTACGAGTAACGACGAACAATAGAAAAACGCAAATGCGGAAAAAAAAATAAAAGGCGTGGTGGACTCTCGTGGTAATGATGAGGCTAGAAGGGGAGGGGGTTGATATTGTGGGAGAGAGAAAAAATATATATATAAAGAGAGAAGATGATCATCTTAAAAGCGTAAAATTAACTCTTCTCCTTTTTCATGACTGAGCTGCCTACGAGTGTCACAATCCCCGCGCTTTCTTTTTCTTTTTTTTTTCATTTTCTTTTTCTTTTTTCTTGTTTCTTGTTGTTGGAAGTTCTAATCGTGATGGGGTGCTAAACGATAATATTTTATCGTCATTAATGATGTGGTGATCGCCATAATTGTCTTGCATCAGATTAAGAGACACGTTTCATACGCTAGCAAGGCGACGGATACTCGTATTATTATTATTATTTGGTTTAATGATATTATTATTTATCCACCACTCCGGGGGCTAACTCGGCGCATCTTCAGGTTCTATCGGGCCTCCGGAAACAGCTGCTGATCCTGTTTCACCAGCTTGGCTCATTGCTACAAATTGTTGTGACAACGTTTGTAAACTTTGCCGGACCTAGAAAATGAAAACGCATTAAGTAAAAACACACTTTCACAGAGAGAGAGAGAGAAACATAAATGAAACTAATTATAAGTTGAAATGTTCAAATTTACCTTAGCTATCTGATCGAGATTTGAATTAAGATAATGCAAAAGTCGATCGTGCGTAAAATGTTCCGGCGAGACAAGAGGATGATTCAGATATGCCGTATGCAATCTATCAATGCGGAACATCATCATGGCTGCCGAAATATACAAAGCTGCTAGAACCACAACCAATACAGCAATGACTGTACCAGGCTTCAATCCACCAACAAACAATGTGCCAAAGGAACGAGATTTGTCTGGTGAGATTGGTATCGATGGTGTCACTGAATCCATTCTAAAATAAGAAAGAAGAAATGATTTAGAAAGCAAAAAATAAACAAGAAAAAACAACAACAAGGAATGTGGCATGTTAAACGATGCCAAATAATCTCACTAATTTTCTAATATTCGTGTCCTACTTTATGTTCTATAAAATAAGTTAAAAACTCCTTTCTAGGTGATATTATATAATAAATCATTTACACTCTTTTACCGTACTCTTTAAGATTATTATTTTTCCTTTGGATCGTAAAATTACAACAAGTCTGACTTGGTTTAGAAAAATTATTCAAAGAAAAGAATAATTTTATTGAGAATAATAAATTGATTAACGATTCCTTTTGACCTATCCTATACAATCCAATATCCGCGAGAAGTACTTAGAATTAGTTTTAAAGTAAATTAGTCTAGTGTATGTGTAAAAGAAGAGAGATAGACGTGTAAAGAAGATTACCAACCTTGTACCAGGAACAGGAGTATGACTTGGTCTAGGAACAGTAGCTGATAAGCCATCGGTATCCGTACAAACGGTTGGTGGTCTTGAAGCAGTTTGATCGGTACCACTTTCTGACATACTCGAATCATCCTCTTCAGGATTAACTTCCGAATCGTCGACCAGCAACGCATCCGGTGGTAATAACTTAACCTCATCGGGAAGAGGTAAAACATCCGGTGAAGTCCTCGGTAATAATGCCTCGTCCCAAACCTGTTTCATCAGCTTGAAGGTCGAATCTCTCGAGAGTAAAGAACAGAATACGTGTCTCTCATCTTCCGTCGCTATTGCGACCGCATTTGGAATGATCTTAGCTGTTTTCTCTTTACTGATTTTTAATACCGATGTTGTCGGTATCAACAATTTTGTAACATAACCGAAAACGTTGCTATAAAAGGCAAAGTAATTCGGTGTTATGTAAAGATGACCTTGAAGTAGGATATCGCCCACCAGCGCACAACTGTAGTAGTTTAATACACGTTCATCTGCGGCTACCTGATGTCGAAATTTTGAAGACTAAATATTAGCTCTGACAAACTGTCCTTTTGCTTAGTCTAATTAAATTTTAATGATAATAATGATTATCCATCTTTTTTTTTTTGCTGGGCAAACAAAAACAATATAAGTCAGAATTATTTTTCTTTTTTTTTTTTAAAGAGATACCTCAATATATTACATTTTAGAAGTGAAAATTGATGATATATGTTTCGTATTCTATCAGAATTGGAATATATATGGGGTATTTCACATCAAATCGACCACATCATACTTCAATGCATTTGCTTACTTTTTTATCCTGTTTTTAGTCAAATTTAACTCATATTCTTTTGTTTTGTCCCATTAGAGAATGATATCTTTATTTCGTTAATTACCTGAGTAAAATGCCGATGAAACTTTTTCTGTCTAGCACTGCTGGTGGACGATGGCGAGGATCTAGATGAAGATCTACTGATCTTCGCTGGAGTTTGAACAGTTCCACCGGCTGCCATCGATGGAGTACTCCTGCTCAATGGCTTTGAAAGCTGACTGAAATGATAAAGAGAAACATTGTAAAAAAAAAAAGAAAAACAACAAAATAATTGTTTCATTTAACTGAAAGAATTCAGTATATTGTATATAAGGTGCATATACAACAATTTAATTTTTTTAACATTCCTTTTGTGATTCCCAAATAAAATAATCTTTTTCAAGGTTCTTTACAGAGATACAAGAAAGACTATACAATGGAAGTATACGTCGATAGCTTCGTAATCAAACATTATCGATCCAATCTTTATCTTGATGTTGTATATTTTAACAACGAAAATATGTAGAATCATGTAGGTATTTTCCACAATAAATTATATTCTGATTTCGATCATGATCCGTACCTTGTAAAACAATGGATATGTAAATATCACGGTATTTGTTAATGTAAATAAATTTATTTAATACCACGACTATAAGAGAATTTGAACATTTTCTCGTAAATCGATTCTATTGATTTTACAACAAAATGTTTCAATTAAAAGTTTTACAGATTTAAAAGAAAATCTAATATTTATTAGAGTTATTTTTGTATAAGATGCGAGATACGAAAGACAACAAATTTTCTTTAAATGGAAATCGATATTTTAGGTTTAATAAAAGTGGTTAAGAATATCAATACAAATTTAATGAGCACCTATAGTGTACCTTTCCATTAATATTTCATCGTGCTCAATTGAGACGCTTAAAATGACATACCCTGTTATAGTGCACATAGATTCAATAGGCAGTACTATAATACAAGCACTCTCAATGATGCTTCCGTAGAAACATACTCTTCAATTATTAATAAATTTTGTACTTCGACCTTTTTTTTATATAAAAAAACTTTTTTACGTATACTTATATATATAATATAAAAAAGAATGAAAAAGATAGAAGAAAATGAAAGTATATTTAACTCGTTTAAGCCACTGTTGATAGTGCTCGCCACTGAATTACGCCTCGAAGTTTTCGTTCTGACAGTAGCACCCCACAAATCATTGCTCCAAACGTCGAATTTGATTCCTTGCATCTTGTTGTTTCGAATTTGATTCGATTAATCGAAACGAAAGAGCAATCAGGTCGATTGGTAAAACGTTTCCTTTTTTTTTTTCAATCGTATCTCTTCCGATTACGTTAAAGGAAAGAGACAAGAAGAAAATAAACACAAAAATATGCACAAACACGCGAGTACACAAATAATACACACTTAATGTGTTATAAAGCTACTTTAAATAGAACTTCCACTTCGGCACGGGCCCCAATCCGCAACATTTATAGCATCGTAAGTTAATAAAATGCTAATAACGCGTGTTTCTGCGTTGGGTCTGCACACGATTTTCGATAAGACACTGTGGTCACGATTAAAGTGAGATCTGCGAAGCTTATCGAGAGAGTTGCAGGTGGAAGACCTAACTTTTATCTAACTAGATCAACGCTCGATTGATATCGTTATAAACGAAACGAACAAAAAATTTCAACCGCGTAAAAAAGTAGACAGATATAGATTTTATTTTGTAGCGATGATAAAAATGTTTTCGAACAAATGATTAATAAACGAGAACGAAGATTTCTATTTATTAACTAACGGAAGTAAGATCTAGTATCAATACTATTATTCTAGTTGATGAAGAAAAAATAAAGTTATCTGGAAAATCTATCTATCTTTTATTATTATAAACCGATTTAGAGGAATAAATCGGAAAACTCTGATAACTATTACATTTTATTGTGTATTACTGGATGAGAATGATTTATATATATATGATCGTAAAGATCACTTTTTTTTCCTATCAACTTCCGACAGCTGTGTCAATAAAAACAGCTATACTACGCTTTCATAAGAACACACAGGTGTCTCGTTATCGCATTATATCTTTCTAGATCTTTATCGATCGCGATCGATAATCATTTTGAAGAACGATGAGAGTTCGATGAGTTTTCTTAGAAAATGTTTTAAACGTTTATCTTACCTATCGTTACATCTCAATGCTGCATGACTCGGACTTCTTGGTGGTTGGGAAATTTGAGTATTAGCAACAACAGTAAGCTGAGAAGCACCACCACCGATTGATTGTTGACTCGTTTGCGGTACTCCAGGCGTTGTTGTTTGTAATGGTGTACTTGGTGCCGAACGTGCTCCTATGGACCCCGCAGACCTAATCATCAAATTTAATTAATTATATTATTATCGTTCGATTAACGTTAATTAAAAAATCTTTTAAAAAAATATTAATAAATCTTTCTAACAATGTAAATAAATACCGAGAGAGATAACCGTTTGCGAAATTTTCGAAATTTCATTTTAAAAAAGAAAAATAATACACGATTTAAATTTTACCTTGCTCTCGTTATTGTACCAGAAGATAGGCAAAGATCGATCAAAGCACGAGTTTCGAACTCCATCATGTCGATTTTATTTCTCAATTAATCAAATTCGTTTGATGAAAATATGATATCTATGTAAAAAAGAAAAAAAGACAAAAAAAAACAGATTCGAATTCTCCTATTTAAAATTATTCTCGTCTCAAACGATGATTGTCAAATTCCAACAATCGACGCGAGATCTAATTATTAATCTAAACATTAAATCAAGATGACATTTCTCAATTAATATATTATAATATCGAGAAATATCATTTAAATTAATAGAAACCACGTTCGTATCGGCACTTTTTAAAGATCATTCTTTTAGACGAACGAACTCTCGCTCCCAAAGTTTTCAATGCCAAACGTGCAATAAAAATGAAACTCATTTTTCAATGATTGTTATTAAATATAAGATAGAAAATAATTTTAATGAAAATAATTGTAATAAAATTAAAAGGAGACGAGTTGTTTCAGCTCACTCAGCCTTCCTCGGACCAGCCGGGATATAAGACTGACTCGATTTCGACATACGTAGTTTCTCGATCTATATCATACGTAGAGAGGAAAAAAAAAAAGAAAAATAACTACCACCGCCTTAGCTCTGACCTTTCGACCTTTTCAATTATTAATTCACGCACTTTCGTTAACTCCCTTTCCAAGTTGTCAAAGTATTGTAGGTTCTCAGCATATTTTGTGAAAATATATAGGAAAGAAAACCTATTCTCTAATTATATTTCATCGTATTATTTTTATTAGCAGTGAAATTCAATTATAAATAGTTATTTTACTTTCGTGTAAAAAAAAAAAAAAAAAAAAAAAAAAAAAAAAAAAACAAAATCGAATGAAATTAGAGTTGCGAAATCGTTTAAGTCGATCAAAAAACGTGATCAATCGAAGTTTAGTATCTAAGATCACTGGACACNTTAACTCCCTTTCCAAGTTGTCAAAGTATTGTAGGTTCTCAGCATATTTTGTGAAAATATATAGGAAAGAAAACCTATTCTCTAATTATATTTCACCCACACACACATACATAAACAAACACAGAGAAAGTAATATGTAATTCGAAAGGTGGTAGTAAAAAAAAAAAAAAAAAAAAAAAATAACAAAAAATAAAAACAAAATCGAATGAAATTAGAGTTGCGAAATCGTTTAAGTCGATCAAAAAACGTGATCAATCGAAGTTTAGTATCTAAGATCACTGGACACACCTATAATGTGGTAATGATTACATATCTACGTATATAGAATATATATACGTACATATATATTTACTTATATTTATGATTATCTTATACCACGTGGCGGTCACGGGCATTTCTAAGAAATCAATTGGCTTTTCTCTATCGTTTCAATGAAAGTCTACTTTTTCTCTATCTCTCTTTTCCCCTCTCTCCTTCCGTTTCTTATTTTCTGCTACTTTTTCTTTTTTCATCCCTGTCCATAACATTTCGTTTACATTATTAAGATACGTCAGGTGTTCTTCCTAGACTTTCTTTCGAAGGACATTATTGAATGACGTAATGTTCTATATATGACATATATCGACAAATTTGATCAATTTTTATGCAATACAGGATATATAAAAGATATACCTATACGTTACACGTTTTACGTAAAATAACTTACATGACACGTTCAGTCTGTGTTCGTGAAACGTTGGAGACACAATATGTTATTTAAATAACATCTATTCTTTCTTTTTTTTAAAAGTAATCACTCTTTCTTTCTGTTTCATATATAATTAAGTATTGTTGATAAACAACTAAAGATACGATCGTTACTATTTTGATGGAATATTTATGATTGGTGATAAAGCACGAAGTAATTCGAAACTGTTTCCGCCCACATTTTTATAATAAAATATAGAAACGATCTGTGTCATGAGAAATGCAGAACAGTTTTTACTCGATAAAAGTGGCAACTAAATAAAAAATGAATATTTTTGATAACCGTAACATATTGTAATATCATTTCCGTGACTGATATTGACTGATTATGATGAGGGATAAAAGTTTTACAATGTTAATTAAAAAAAAAATTGTCTAAAAATTAATTTCTCGTAGGAGTAAGTGATTTTTTAAATTACTTTGTGAACGCTTGACTAAACCTGCATAACTATACATATTTTTTCCATTTTAAGAATGAAATGTAAATATAAAAAAAATAACACATGCGAAATTTTCGAATTCTCTATAGTATATACAAAATACTATATATGTATAGAAAGAATGCAAGCAATGACAATAAAAAATAAACAAATCGATTATAAAAACTGTACTGGAATATCTTTAGAACTCAATTTATATTTTTACGTTTAAACGTTAACAAATATTTTTAAATGCAACTCTCCCTCTCTCTCTCTCTCTTTTAAATGCAAAATAAATATCTATTTGAAATTTTTTTAAATAAATCGATTATAACAACAAACGATAAATTATTTATCGAGTTCGAATTAGATTTCTACATTTTCAAATATTTTGTAAAACAAATTATCGAAACGATTTCATTCGATAATATGTTTATAAATCAAATACAGATAGGTCTCGGAAACTATCGTCGTTTTATTACGTCAAACTCTGTTGACCTTAACACAGATGATTTAATTCTGGCATTTTTTACAAGGAAAAAAATTACATTTAATTTCTTTTAATAGTAATAATAATATTTACAGAGAATGCATTGACGCAAAGAATGGAGGACAGATAATCGAAGAAATAAATAGGGGTGTATATATATGCTACAACTGTACATGTACATATGTTCCTTTTGGATCCACAATTTATAATATTTTTTCCCTAATGCAATTTTCCTTTTCACTTTAACTAATCTTTGTTTTTGTATTTTAGTTTGACATTAGGAACTGGGTCAAAAGAGATTCGATTTATCGATGATCCCTGAAAAGCTTGCAGTTGTCGCATGTATTCGACGTTTTTTTGGAAGATTAAAAATCGTTCGAGATTTCTTAGAACAATATTCCCCTTTATATAATCACAATGAATTATTCAAAAAGTAAAGTATTATATAATATCTTTTCATACATAATTTATATATTTTTTATTTAAGTAATATATCGATAAAATTATATTACATTGATTTATCGTCGTGCCAACGTTACAATGATAAACAAAGTTTGATTTATCGTTTTAGATGAATTAAGAAACGTTTAACACACCGGCAAATATATTATTATTATTTCTTTATTCGAATAGAAAAGAAAAGAAAAGAAAAGAAGTCGTAAGAAAATGAATCGAGAATTTGAAAATAATTCGAGACAGTCGAGAAAATGTTTAAACTCGGTACGAAGCATGGGTAATACGCGGTTGGCTAAGCGTATGCATTATTTTTAGAATTCACGCTTCGTGTCTAACGCATGCACGTGGATACAACGTTTGTACAACGTTATGGAGAAGAAGAAGAAGAAGAAGAAAAGGGATGGAAGGAAAGAAAACAGAAAAAAAGAGAAGAACGTATTAGCCATACTTATGCATCCGTTGACTATAACGATAAGAAAAAGAACGAATACAAAATTCACATATTATTCAGATTTCTTCACCAAAAGAATTATCATGATCCAATGGGGATAGAATCGAATTAACAGCTATACTCGTCGCTTTAGCGTTTAGTTGCTCAAACAAATTTATTCTGATATTGATCGGTCGTCTCCTTTTAAGAAGACAAAAAGAAGAATAAAAAAAGAAAATAAAACCAGTGACTACTACTACATTATGCACTCACAGTCTAATCTCAATATACTATCTATCTGTTCGTCTCCAAATACAGCTTGTATAAATAGTTATAAAGTAGGTAGTTCGTCAATGATGATGTTCTCTTTTGTAATCGTACATATTTCGATTGTATTGAATATCGAGAGTGACTTTAACAATCATTGACGAGTTACATTATTTTTATCAAATATTTTCTACACTTATTAGTGTTTTACAATCTTGAAAATAGAATAAATTAGAATATTATTTATTGGGGCAATTCTTTACAAAGCTTAGGTATTTACTTGAAATAATGAGCATTTCCAAGTAACGCGTACTTGCATTCGACTTTCGTAAACGTTTCGATAGTTCGACTTTAAATTTAAATTTACTCTCTCTCTCTCTCTTATCGTTGGCGACCAGTGTATTGTTTCATACAACTTGCTTTTCCTACTCTATTACCTTTTCTTTTCTTTTTTTTTTACATTAACAAATGTCGTATATATTTGTACTTTGAATAAATCGAAAAATTCGTGATGTATGTTTCGATATATCGATATACAGCTGGTTTAATTTCATAATTCTTCTTCTCATTGGATAATTATTCTTAATCGTTGAGAGGACGCAATTGTGAATGTAATTATTCAAATTATATACACCGGTATTTCCTGTTTTATAATTGTATTTATATTGTGTTTTGTAATTCGTAAACATTATTAGTATTCGGTCAGTGATCTGATCCAATTCGATTTGATCTTATTTGGTCTTCCTTTCTAGAGAGAAATTGCCTTTCAAATATTAACGCGCGTTCTACTAAAATAGACGGCGTATACAATTACACGGTAACATATTTTCGCGTGTTAACTTTTAAACTCGCATCAAATAATCATTATAATTTGGGGTTATTGTTTTTGGTTGATTTCCCTATCGATTGCACGTATGTCTTATCATATTTTAAGTAACCTCCCCCCCAAAAAATAGCCAATTTCAACATATTAATGATCTTTTTTTTTGTTTGTTTTCTCTTTCGATACCGTTTTTATTTTTTAATCATGTTAAAAAATCCCATAAGTTAATAATAA